CTTTAGCTCTGTATCTTATTTTGCAACCTAAATTTGATGCTCTACTTGTGCATTTTTGTGCATAATTGCATTCCCGGATCCACACACGACTGTGTTTGTGCCAGAGTGCTTTAGTCTACAGACAACTTTAAACCTCCACAACAATTTTTTCATTTGAAGTTGTTTGACCTTGTTTTCGCAACTTGGTCATATTTGTAAGAAGACCTAGAGGAGCATACCTAGTCCGGAGTCCATTGTATGCATGATAGTTTCCAAAGTCGGACCGTGGGTGTGGTTCATTCGTAGTCCAGGGTAACCTATTTTACCATCTGTTTCTCTAGGGTAAACACATCGAATCGCTCTTTCTTACCCAGCTTATTGAAATTTAAATAAGATTTGATTTGCAAGCTTCTATTTCTGTGGCGTCATTTTTGTTTCCTTATTCCTTTCTTTACTGTCGAGGCAATCCTTATTTTTTCTTTAGTAATTATTGAATTTTTTAGTTTTGTTTATAATCTCACATAATACTTGAGGTAGATTTTAGCCTTATATCAGAACACTTCATACATAGGTAGGTAATTAACCGGATTTCATGTACTTAATACACGTTTTTTTGTATATAAATGTTTCTCTAACTAATAATGACCTTAATCGGCATAACTTGTTTTATTAGTTTGAATCTTATTCTGTTTGTACATCATTGTGCGGAGTCTATTCTAGCCGATGATACAGGGTATCTATATTTCTCTTTTTTACTTTGCCAATTTTTTAATATTATTTTGTATGACATGCTTAGAACACTGATTATTTATTATGTATTGTTGTTAATATTTTATATTTTGGTTGATCTGTTATCTAATGGAAACTTCATTTCGAATAGTTCCTCGACGCACTGCCCTGCGACCCCGATGAATTTTTTCTGAACTTTCGTCCGTCATGTGACAGATTCACATCATTAGAGCAGGAAACCATGGTTTATTCATCAGGCACAACGGCATGAGAGATGGCTGACTGATCCTGCCTACTTCCTATAGCTCAACTTTGTCCACTTAAGGCATCCCATGATTTGATTCGATATCATATGCTTTCCATGAATGTTTGCTGAAAGTGAACTGGCTGCGGATGATATGTGTAGTAGCTGCAGAGAAGGCCTGGAACTGATGCAATTTTAATCGAACAGCTGCATTCTCCACAAAATTATTTATATTTTTGATCTTGCAATGCCTACTCATTTGATTGCGTTCCATTACACGCGTGATGTATTCATGCAACGCTTCTGAATTTCGTGAGGCCTATCAGCCCTCTTGCCCTGAGCTACTTCTCGTTCCCACCACTTATTCCTTCTATAGATTACCTAATTTTTCGCTCACTGTATAGTCCCTATATTCAGCTAAAAGTTTGGCAGACACCAATCTATCTGGTGTCTTTTGTGCGCATAGGATATCCAACCAAATCATAGGATGTTTTATAAAGCCAACGAAGTTTCAGCTATATGAAAGTAGGTAGGACTACAGCTGGCCAACTGGCTTTGAAATGTATGGAATCACCGTAAAGCTGGGAATGAACCAAACCCACAATCCGATTCTGGAAAAAATAATAAACAATAATGTCGCTTTTATATTCATGTAGCGGTGGTTATAAGTATTCCCAATGGTCTTTTCTATCAGTCATTCTAGATTCCTATGTATATGATCGACTTTGCCATTACAAGCATACTTTCCTTTGGTACCATATGTATACTTCTTATTTTCTTTCTTCCCTTTGCTTCTTCGTCTTTATTTAGGCCCTTCTCATGGGATATGAAGATACTTTATCAAATCTTAACGCTTCAGTTCTGGTTTCCTGCATCCTAGAGATCCTAGAGACCGATAACGAATCGCTTGCTGAGCTTAAGAGCCTTGGTTGTAACGTTCTCACGCATATGATGGACCTTCTGCCACGTAGCTCTGACTTTGTGGTTCCTGTTATTCCCAGTCTCCTCAACACGATGTCGTGCAGCTTTGTCGGTGATATTTTGGAGCGGGTAATCAACGTTTTAGAGCAGGTTTCTCGCCGTCACGGTAGAGAAGTTTTGCGTTGTGGCGGGATCTCGGTGAGATTTGTTGCATTTTTAATATTTCGACTTTTTTATGCCATTTTTCTTCTATATTGATTAATAATTAGGAACTTTGATATTGGCCTTGTTTTCGCAACTTGGTCATATTTGTAGGAAGACTTAGAGGAAAACACCTAGTCCAGAGTCCATTGTATGCATGATCATTTCCAGAGTATGACCGTGGATGTGGTACATTCCCAGACGTTTCGCTGGCATCGTCAGTGAGTCTCGAAATTCTTAGCACCACACAACAACTCGTCAAAGAGACAAGTGAAGTCGATCCCTTGGCCAATGGTGTGCCAAACAGTTGTGGTATCTTCCCTTCTGCCCTTGGCTATTCACATTTCCTATATTCTCCTATCACTTCTTCACTGTTAAAATTTTTTTCGTGCTTATTTCGATGTAGTGTGGTGTGCTCATTTAAACGGCATTCATGAAAACCCTTCACACGCCACGCTGTCGTTCTCATCCCCTTCATCCTTGTGCTAGGAATGTTGATCAGTCTGACATGATGTTACATAGTCTTCTTTCCCTAGGTCTTATCACAGTCTCTCTCTTTCCCCGTAAGATACGTATTTCACTCGATATCTGCCAATCCCATCTGTGCTACTCGAGGCGTTATTAGTTATCCACTGCGTCTAGGTGACCAATTCGAGGCTCAGGCCTCTGATTAAGTTTCATCGTCAAGCCTTTGCTACATGGACCACGCCTATGGTACAACAGACCTACTGTCAGCCAACCATCCCTAATACGAAGTCTATGACTTCGTATGCCCCAGTCTCTTGTGAGCCAACCCACAAATATTGTGGTACTGCTTGCTTTTATTAGGTTCAATTTTGAACTACATCGTTTGTGGGTTGGCACACCATGAACCTAATAAAAGCAAGGAATACCATAACATTTATGGGTTGGCATACAAGACACCTGGGCATATGGAGTCTTTAGATAGAAACAGGATAGACGAGACGGAGAATGCATCTAGTTGGCTAAAGTAGGTTTTACCAGAGACGTGGTTCATCCAACAAAGGCCTGACCATGAGACTTACTTAGCGGCTTTAGCCTCGAATTAGTCACTCAGAAGCAGGGGAGGGGTAATAAAACCTCGAGTAGCACAGATGGGATGGCAGGAGTTGAGTAAAATACGTGAACTAGGGAGAGAGCAGAGGGATCTTACGGGTAAAGAGAGTGACTGTGATAAGACCTAGGGAAGGAGGACTGCGTAACAATATGGCAGACTGATCAACATTCCCAGCACAAGGATGAAGGGAGTGGAAACGACAGCTTGGAGTGTGAAGGATTTTTATGAATGCTGCTCAAAGGAGCACACTGCACTACTTCGAAATAAGAACAGTAAAATTGTAACAGTGAAGGTGTGTAGGAGGATATAATAAATGTGAATAGCGCAGGGCAGAAGGAGAGATACCACAATTGTTTAGCACACGTTTGGCCAAAGGATTGGCTTCACTTGTCTCTTTGACGAGTTGTTGTGTGGTGCTAAGAATGGCGAGACTCACTGACGATGCCGGCGAAACGCCTGGGAATGTACCACGTCCACGGTCCTACTCTGGAAATGATCATGCATACAATGGACCCAGGACTAGGTGTTTTCCTCTACGTCTTCCTACAAATATGACCAAGTTGCGAAAACAAGGTCAAACAACTTCTATTATACGAAAGGAGACTGCGACCACACAAAAGGCCACACCATCTTGGTCTTTATACCTTTGATTTAGTATTGATTATTTTTTTAACTTCTTTTTCTATCCAAAGAATAATCTTAATTCAAACCTAGCAGTATTGACTCACATAATGGACATATTTTCCACAGCTTTTCAAACAAATAACGGGAAATATTTTCTAAATAATATAGCCATATTTTAATTCTTGGTTCAGATTTTTTAATCAAATCACTTTATAAATGCCATAATGCCGTTTTCAAGCCAACCTTCCTATTATGGAATTCTCCTTAAGTTCCATTATTTATGTACTTTTAAAATCTTCATTATTTAGTAAAATATAACCACTAGAGATTAGAAAGTTGCAATCATATCGAATCTTACTTTTTAAGGATCGTTTGTTGTAAGCACATAGTATTGCCTGATTCTAGTAAACTTATATTGATAGCTTACATTTTATATAACTATATGAAGTTGAATATAAGGGGTATTTCTATTCAAGCACATCTTTTTGATTAGCCCACTTTTTAGCATTGAAATTTTTAAATATATTCTTTCTAATTCTTAATGAGTGTTGTTTCTTATTTTAAAACTCTAAAATTAATCTACTTTTATTGATTATTCATCAGTAAAACATTTTACATGGTTACGAAAATCTATCTTGAAGTTATTATTATAGTTATTTGCTAGCATGGCATTATCTACATACTACACCACCAAAACTAAGGAGCACTGCTTCGAGGACTGCGTTAACACGAACATTCAAACGATTGCAGACCCAAAATGAATCACCTCTTTATGATTAGATCGGCACCTCTTGATTTCAGACTAAATTAGATTATTTAAAAAAATAACGTTTATTTATCCTGTTAATCCTTAAAAAATTCGTTTTGTATCATTATTTTTCTTTTGATAATAATACTTCTGCCACATAATTGTCATTTACTCAGACTGTGATGAACTTCTACGACTTTGTGACTTTGGCTCAACATCGCACCATCCTTACTATGGTGGCTAATTGTTTTGCGAGTTTGCGAGCTCACGAAGACAGTGAAGCTGATTTCGATTTGGTAGCAGATACGCTTCCTGGTCTGGCCCAAAGACTGCATGAGCCAGAGCCACGTTGTGTTGAAAGAGTCTGTACTTGTCTTGCCCGACTCGTTGAAGCGTATAGATCGCGCCCAGATCTACTAAAACGTATCGCTGTTGATGCGAACTTATTCACAAATTTGCAACAACTTGTGAGTATTACATCTTAGTGGCACATTTAGTGAACTAAAGAAAATTTTATCCTGCTTTAATTTTTTCCTGACTGTACTTTTCCTCTTATGTAGTTACTAGTGGCAGATTTTAATCCCTTTTCTACGGCTAATTGTGTGCCTTATTTTATTACTATTCATTGAACTGCATTTGGTGATTAGCTTTTTGATATACAAATTTTAAATTCAATGTTTACTTCTTTTCACTGGTTTCGCTTTGTTTTTGTTAGACATATATATTGTTAATTAATAAGCTTAGAAGAAAACATACATACCTTAACCACAAATC